AGGCCCACTTCAAACAGCGCCCTGTCGGTGGCTTTGTGCACTTTATAGGAGAGCCAGGCGTTCTGGCCAGAGTCCACGTCCACGGCCACCACTTTAGTCACCAGATAGCCCACATCTGCCGATCGAGGCACCATTTCGGCCAGCAGCAAGCCGCCCGTCTGCACCGGGTACAGGACCTGAGGGGCGTTGTCGTTCTGGTCCTGGATTAGGATGCGAACGCTCACGTTGCTGCTGAGCGGAGGGGAGCCACCATCCTGTGCTCTGACCACCAAGTCCAGTTGTTTAATTTGCTCATAATCGAATGATCGAATGGCACTGAGGACACCACTTTCAGAATTCAAAGTAACAAAAGTCGAAACTGGACTGCCACTGATCTGTGTATCTTCCAAAAGGTAAGAGATTCTCGCGTTTTGATTCCAATCAGCGTCTCGGGCAGAGACAGCAAATATGGAAGTGCCAGGAGAATTGTTCTCTGTGACATAAGCAGAGTAAATATTTTTATTGAATAATGGTGCATTGTCATTCACATCTGATATTCTGAGATGTAACTTGGTTGAACTAGAAAGTGGAGGCACTCCCAGATCAGTGGCTGTAATTGTTATGTTATATTCCGAAACAGATTCTCTGTCAAAATATTGATCTGAAATCAAATTATAATAATTTGTAAGAGATGGCTCAATTTTAAAAGGAAGTTTTCGGTCTAACGAACATTTTATTTGTCCATTTCTCTCAGAATCAACATCTTTTATGTTCAGAACTGCAACTGTTGTACCAGGAGGGGAATCCTCAGACAGATAGCTGGAAAATGACTTTATATTAATAACTGGAGCATTGTCATTTACGTCAATAACATCAATTATAACTTTACTGGTTCCAATCAGCCCACCTTGATCCTTTGCTTCCAACCTTACTTCATACTTTCTGTCTTTTTCAAAGTCTATTTCCCCAGATACGTAAATTGTGCCAGTGTTTTCATCAATATTAAATATATTGGCAGCACTTCCTTTCATTTTTGACAAACTGTAAGTAATGAGTCCATTTGAACCACTGTCAGCGTCTGTCGCATTTACAGTCATTAACCGAGTTCCCTTCGTTGTATTTTCAACAACAGAGGCTTTATATTCGGATTGGTTAAATATTGGCCGGTTGTCATTTGCATCTAGCACATTTATTTCTATATTTACGGTACTCGATCTCTGTGGTGTTCCTCCATCAACTGCAATTAGTTTAAAAGACAAACGGTCCCGTTGCTCTCTGTCTAAAGGCTTCTGCAGCACCATTTCAACATATTTACTGCCATCTGGATTTGCATTCTGATTCAATATAAAATTTTCATTTGGAGACAAAATGTAATTTTGCAATGCATTTTGCCCCACATCTTGATCCTCTGCACTCGGCAGGGGAAACGGCACTCCAAGTGCCACTCCTTCACTTATTTCAAATATGACAGCTGATTCTTTATTTGGAAATATCGGAGCGTGGTCATTTATGTCCAAAACCTCAACAATGATTCTGTGCAGCTCAATCGGGTTTTCTAAAATGATCTCAAAGCTGAAGCTGCACGGCGTCACATCCCCGCAAAGCTGCTCCCGGTCTATTCTGTCACTGACGACCAGGAGCCCTTTGTCTGTTTTCAGCTCCGTGTATTGGATGTTATCTTCGGTTAAAATGCGGGCCCGCCCTGAATTGAGTCTCTTGATATCCAAACCGAGATCTTGCGCCACATTTCCAACCACGGAGCCTTTTTTCATCTCCTCGGGGATAGAATAACGAATTTGACCACCTACCGCGGTAACCAAATGAAGCAGAAACATGAGCGTTCCAATTTGTTGTCGCCGTCCATAAAACAGCATCCATGTTGCGCACGAGAAAAGGAGTGGTCCGTTATCATCCATTATGGCAAAAAGAAAAAGAAATATGATCGAGTTCCTTAAAATATGCGCTTCCTGCTCATCACGTCGACGTTTACATGTATGTGAAAGCCAGTCCGTTGTTCTTTTCACTTCCCCTCACCGCCAAAGAAAGACAGAAAATCTGCTTCACTGCCTCGTCACTGCAGGCCTGCATGACGACAATTCACCGCCAAAGAAAGACAGAAAATCTGCTTCACTGCAGGACTGCATGACGACAATTCGCCGAAAATGATACCCAAGCCAACAGCGTCTCTTAGAGTCTAAAACGTGTAAGAACGAGCTATAGGCACAGGAGATGGAACAAATTGCACTGCTGCAAGCGAATTCCCTTCCAGTGTCAAACAGAAAATATTGTTCAACACGAAGGAGCCAACAAGTTAGGGCTTTGCCGAGTAAATATATTCAAAACAATGACTTGAAACATTTTCAGAAATAGAAAAACTTAGAATGAGAAACACAAAATCTATTCAAAATTATGATAAATCCTGCTGTAATATTAACATGTACAGTGCGATTGCAAAGGGTGTCAACACTTTCATTTTGCTGTAGAACAATAAAATAATGAACGTCATGACTACTACGTGACAATTGCAAATTCACGTGTCCAAACAAGCATTGATTTGCTATGTGGGATTCATCGAATATGGATATTCATGACAATTTACAATTATAGGAGCTTTTGAAATTATTACTATTATCATCATCATCATCGTCGTCGTCACCTTGAAGTCGTGAAACAATACTACCATCACAAATCATATTCTTTCCTAAATCCGTAACAATAATCATTTGGCACCATTTTTTTTTAAATCGTATGAGAAGTGCACGTGTACTGTAATGTCAGACTAAGTTGTCATCTTGGATTTGAATCGTGTGGGAATTAAGTCATCTGAAAAAATATGCAGCTGCATTGGCACTGAGAACTGAATAACGAATTGTCATGAAAATGTTCACAATTTATTTTGGTCAACTATTTTGCAAAGAGACAACCATGTGTTGAAATTACATGCCGTGATTGACTCCAATACGTTTATTTTTTCATCCATCCATTTTCAACACTGCTTATTCTGAACAGAGTGGCGCAGAGTTGCTGCAGCCTATCCCAGATGATTTCAGGCGGAAGGCAGTATACACCCTGAACTGATCGCCAGTCAGTCGCGGGGCACAGAGAGACAAATGACCATTCACACTTGCATCCACACTGTCACTGAGCGGGAACCAATCTCACGCTGCTCGCACACAAGTCAGGCGAATGTACCAGCGACTATTTCTATTTTTCAAAATCTTAATCATGAAAGGGTTAACAATAATTGTTTTGATTGCATGTTTGAACTCATATTCTCAACCATAGAACGTCAAACAAATCTAAAATAAAAGTAATGACATATATGCTCAACTGCTTTTCGGAATTTTATTTTAATCATCATTTTATTGTGATAGCCAAGCTGTGATTTGCTGTGAAAAAGGATTGTACTTATTTATACCATGTATCTATCTATTGAAAACATTTGTCGAGTAAATGTTTTGTTTTAACCCTTGCTCATATCTTGTGAAAGGTAAAATTACATTGCCACATTTATCATTTGCAATTTCAATTCACCTTTATTCAATTTTGTTCACGTTTCCTGAAATACACATTGCTACATAGCCCCTAAGGGGACATGGAAGAAAAAAAAAAAGAAAACTTTGCGTTCCCTCGCCAAGTATTGCGTTCCTTCTCAAAGTTTTGCATTCCCTCGCAAAGATTGCAATATCTCGCAATCTTTTTTTTTTTGTTAGGGGACGCTTTTTTTTTAATGCACTATTTTGAACTTCCGGGTCATCTTGGCAAACGTCAGCTTCACTCTCATGCACGGCTGATTGAGAGACGACACTACCTCGGGGAAGGAGAGAATCATGGAGGAGAATCAAGAACAGATTTAATGTCTTCGTATTTCAAGCCACTTATCAAAGTAAAATTCAATGGAACTCGCCAACGGGTGAAAACGCCATGTTTGTTGTTTTCAGTTACCCGGACAATGACCCGGAAGTACATCAACACCATAAACAAAGTTTGCGGTATCTCACAATGTCTCCGAGGGAATGCAATCTTTGCGAGGTAACGCAATATTTGCTTTCCCCCTTGCGAAGTTTTGCATTCCCTCGCAAAGATTGCGAAATGCAAACTTTTTTTAATGGCATTGATGTACTTCCAGGTCATCATCCGGGTAACCGAAAACAACAAACATGGAGTGTTTTAACCCGTTGGCGAGTTCCATTGAATTTTACTTTGATAAGTGGCTTGAAATACGAAGACATTAAATCTGTTCTTGATTCTCCTCCATGATTCTCTCCTTCCCCGAGGTAGTGTCGTCTCTCAATCAGCCGTGCATGAGAGTGAAGCTGACATTAGCCAAGCTGACCAGAGAGTACTAAATCGTGCATTAAAAAAAAGCGTCCACTTACAAAAAAAACAAAAAAAAAGATGACAATATCCCCGCAAGGGAACGCAATCTTTGAGAGGGAAGGCAAAACTTTGCGAGGGAACGCAAAGTTTTTTTTTCCTTCCATGTCCCCTGAGGGACTCCGTACATTGCAGATTAGTTTTGCATTCTTTCAGTTAAAAAACCAGTATTTTGCAATATTTAGGTTTTTGTTGTGGTTTGAATTTCATTATGTGGGCTGTGAATTCAACACCATGCAAAAACTGTCAAGGACACAGGGGTGAAATCTGTTGACAATTCCTTGTTCCATTCATGTGCAGGAAGTTGTGAACAAATCTCAGAAAAATCAGCAAGAAAATGGTAAAACATCTGACTCACCAAGGTTGACGTCTGTGAAAAAAGCTCTGATATCTGTTTGTTGTCCTGTGGCATATCGGCATCAACTCCATCCACATTCATTAAACTTTGACTCATGGCTTGTATATTCTTCATGTCACTTTTTCTGGAGTCGGTGGTCCTGCACACCTCGTAATTGTACACATGCGGGAGGGTTCCCAAAGTATCCGAGTAACGAGGAGGACAATACGGAATGACAGGCAGGTTGGAGTGGTAGAGGACGCGAGACTGTCTCCATCTGTACACTTTGACCGATATGATAAGCAGCAAGCAGGTGATAAAGAGGAAGGAGACCACCGCCAGCGCCAACACTAAGTAAAAAGTCAGCTGGTCATTGTACTCCTTGTCGTGCATGCTCAACTCAGTGAACTCTGACAGCACTTGCGGGAAGCTGTCGGACACCGCCACGTTCACAATGACCGTAGCTGAACGAGAGGGCCGCCCGTTGTCCTCCACGACAACAGTCAGTCTTTGTTTAACAGCATCTTTATCATTCACTTGGCGGACAGTTCGGATTTCTCCATTGTGGAGGCCCACTTCAAACAGCGCCCTGTCGGTGGCTTTGTGCACTTTGTAGGAGAGCCAGGCATTCTGGCCAGAGTCCACATCTACGGCCACCACTTTCGTCACCAGATAGCCCACATCGGCCAAACGAGGCACCATTTCGGCCAGCAGCGAGCCGCCCGTCTGCACCGGGTACAGGACCTGAGGGGCATTGTCGTTCTGGTCCTGGATCAGAATGCGGACTGTGGCCACAGAACTGAGTGGAGGGGATCCGGAGTCGCGGGCAGTAACGTTGAAGTCGAAGGATTTTATTTGTTCATAATCAAATGATTTGACTGCGTGGATGACACCATTCTCAGAATTTATGGAGACAAAAGAAGACACAGCTGCTCCATTAACTTCTTTCTCCTCCAGGAAGTAAGACACTCGAGCGTTCTGGCCCCAGTCTGCATCACTAGCACTGACAGTAAACACAGAAAAACCAGGAGTGTTGTTCTCCGGCACAGTCTTACTGTATTTTGACAGATGGAATTTGGGCGGGTTGTCATTCACGTCAGATATTTTAACGTTGATGTTTTTAATACTCGACAGAGGTGGGGAGCCTTGGTCAGACACTGTTATGGTCACATTATATTCAGGGACATTTTCCCGGTCTAAGAAGTTTTCAGTCACTATGGTGTAGTAACCTGTGAGAGAAGACTCAATTTTAAAAGGGACGTCAGCGTTAATGGAGCACTTGTCAACACCATTGCCCTCAGAGTCTTCATCATTCACGTTAAAAACAGCTACGGTTGTACCTGGGGGAGCATCCTCAGGTATGAACTGAGAAAATGACATAATTTCTATTGCGGGGACATTGTCATTCTCATCAATTATATTAATGAATATTTTACATGTATCCGTAAATCCTCCATGATCACTAGCCTGGATGTTAAATTGATAACTCCTTGATTTTTCAAAATCTAGTTTACCTAAAACTTTTATTTCTCCCGATTTGACATTTACATCAAACAGCTGCTCCGTGTCTTTGGAAGAACGAGTCGAATATGTGACGTCACCATTGATTCCTGCATCAGCATCGTTTGCACTAACAGTCGCGATTACCGTCCCTGCAGGTGAATTTTCGGGCACATCGACCTTATAAACAGTTTGAGTGCAGACTGGCGCATTGTCGTTTGCATCCAGCACAGTGACTTGAATTCTCACCGTCCCTGACCTATGTGGCTCACCACCATCTGAAGCAATCAACATGAGTGTGAGGCTCTCCTCTCTTTCTCGGTCTAAAGGCTTCTGCAAAATCATTTCAATGAATTTTGGTCCACCTGGTTGGCTTTGTATTTCCAGTTTAAAATCATTTGAAGGTCGAAGTGCGTAACTCTGAATATCATTAATGGCAACATCAGAGTCATCGGCATTCTCGAGTGAGAAACGAGTTCCCACTACAGCATTCTCAGCAATCTTAATATTAATTTCAGACTGGGGGAAGGAGGGACTGTTGTCATTAATGTCCACGACCTCCACTGTTACACGATAAAGCTGAATTGGGTTTTCCAAAATGATGTCAAAACTGAAGCTACAGGGCGTCGTCTTTCCACAAAGCTCTTCTCGGTCGATGCGCTCTTTAACCACAAGCGTGCCTTTGTCTCGCTTTAAATCAACATACTGTCGGCCTCCTTTGGTAATTATTCGAGCTTTACCTGTCACGAGTCTGCCCAAGTCCAAGCCCAAATCTCTCGCAATATTTCCAACAAAAGAGCCTTCCGCCTGCTCCTCCGGTATGGAATAGCGAGCCTGTCCACTCGCGGAGCGCAGCTCACAGAGACAAAGAATGACAAAAAGTGCGCGCCATCGGCCGATGACGGCACGTATCCACATAGAATACATCGTGAATTAAAAGAATATATTTCAAGAACAGCAATCCTCAATCCAAATCATACAAAATAAATATGAGAGTCCGCAGAAAACGTGCCTTCAAACAACGAACAGAACGTCGTCTTTCTGAGCAATGGAGCCTTGAAAGGAGCCCAAGAGGAGGACAACTGCATGGAGTCATTTCACTGACGTGCCACGAGCGGCGCTCAGAGCATTTTCACAGAAGTGCAAGGCAGTTCATGTACAGCTTTCAATGTATCACATTAAAATATCACCGCATGTTATAATATATCCATAATAAAATGTTTAAAACTACGGAATATTCATGAGAATAAAAAATTTAATACGTGTGAGTTTCCATACAGAAAAGATTCTTACATGCAGGGTCCTTATTTAACCGTTATTTTGAAATGATAAATGGTAGAATGAAAATTTGAGGAAAAAATACTGTGTGTGCGTGTATGTGTATACACTTACACACACACACACACACACACACACACAATCGTAGGAATAAAAAAATAGGCTATATATATATAGTTATTTGCAAGCAATTTACTCTCGTCTAAATCTAATGTCATACAAAATCGAATAAAAAATATTGATTCAGAGCTAATCTAAAGATCACTTTCTTCCATGTCACACTGTCTGATGACACATTTAAATTATTGTAATTTTGTGTAATTGGATTGAAATCTCAGTAAGATTTAAATTTCGTCAATAAAAGTTATGATTTTGTAAAAATATCCTGCTCAAAACAATTATTTTTTTCTTCAACTCATAATATTATCGTGTTTCAGCGTTTAATTTACTTTTTGACAGTAAAAGTGTTGAATTATGTTTCTCAAAACAATCTTGCAGCGTCAATGACAGTCGGAATTACTTGTCACACAATCACTGTTGAGAGATGTGAAAGTTATCGATACAAAAACAGGAGATGAAAAAAAAGTCAAAATACTCAATCATCCGCAAAAACAATACACAATTATTCAAAATTTGGGTTACAGTTTAAATTCTTGTAAATAAAATAAATATTTATCAGAAAAAAGGATTAAGCTGTGTTGCATTACAAACAACTTTAATTGCGTCCACTGACTGAAGAGTGCAAAGCCAAAGTTGCTGTCTATGGTGCTGAAACTACAGGACTTGTTAAATGCACTTTGTTGGACTCAGAAACAGCAAAGAAAAAAAAAACATACACTTTGCCAATATTAAATAATGTGAAAAACACATCCTAATCACTCTGGGCTGTCTCAACTGCTTATCACACACATTACTGCCATTCATCTTTAAGAAGTCTTTGAAGAGGTCTAACGCAACCAAATGCGGATATACCGGGGGTCGAAGAGGGACAAGTAAACAAACAGCGTTCACCCAGTTTATACTAGTAGCGCTGGGTAAAGTCCTGTGAGAACACGTAACACGAGTGAGACTGCCATTCATCCATCCATCCGTTTTCTATATTGTTTCTCACCAGACAGCTGGAAGCGTCCAGTTACTCTGTGGGGGAGGACTACTGCTCAGGCGTAGAAAAAAAAAAGTTGTGTGTTTCCGGTAACCCGACCGACCGAGAATTTCCACGTCGAAAAAAAAACTTTACGGTCGGCATTTTTTTCAAACAACCCTCTACATTTTTGTGTAGAGGGTTTACATCGGTGCAAACTCTCGTGATATTCACGTTGAGCGCGGGCGTCGTTTCCCCTGTCGTCTGTCAACAACATTGAAACGTGGCGGCGGCCGCGATCTCCGACGACAGTTTAAACCGCGTTTGCTGAGTTACAGTCGCATGCTCGCGCCATAATGTTAAGAAAATAGCATCCATTGATGTATCGGAAAAATTCAGCGAACTATTTGATGAACACCACGGGCCGAGTAAAAACCGAGGGCGGAGCAGGACGGAGGCGGAGGCGGCGGCGCACCCCGGCCCCACGAGTCCGGAGCGGGGAGAAAACTAAATAGATTGAAGATTGAAGATTGAAGATAGAAGATTGAAGATTGAATCAATGTTTTCTTGTTTTATGTTTTATGGTTATTTTGTTTAAATCTTTGATGGAAAAAAAAAGATTAAAAAAAAAAAAAAACTTTGTCCGACCTACCGACTCTATGCTGAAATTTCATGTTACCGGAAACACACTATCTTTTTTGTTTGGCCTCATCTTAAAATTCTGGCAAACCAAATTTTTGAGGAAAGTCGTGTTCATCAAGGCCATTCCTTTCACTGCTAATTCTTTGCACTACACATTGACCGATACAAGAAACAGCAAGCAGATCTGAACTTAAAAAAAATCGAAAAAAAAAAAAAAAAAGCAAAAAAACAAACAAAAAAAAAACAGTTCTCAGCCAGACCACTGAGGATGGCTTTTCCAACATGATGAGCAAAAACAATTGACCAAAGAGTGGTCAGATCAAAAATAATTAAAAAAAGACGATTACCTTGAAAAGTTGGTCTATGTTCTAAAATGAAAATACGAAAACATTTCCATTCAATATTAAGTGGACAAACCTACTCAGCAAAATAAACAAAGGAGCAATTGATCAAATAATTATTTTCCCCAAATATTGTTATTTCATCATAATAGTACATTATATGGTGGCTGTGAATCGTTTTCTAAAGAAGCAAAGGTGCACGACCCAAGATCTACAGTTGTCACATAGCTAAAGGAAATTCACTCCATGAATCTGACATCGGGAAATGTCCAAAAAACAACCCAGAAACAAAACCAAAGACTGTGGAAGATGATCACTGCTGTCCCCCATGCCAGGAGGCATTATAGATACTAAGTCAAGTAAAAAGCTGACGCAGCTTCTTTTCAAACACCAAGTTTTTGTAATAAAAATGACACCAAGACAAACCCTTCAAAAACTTGCTTATATCCCCCAAAACCCTGCAAAGGATTTGAACAGTGGTGTGTAGACTTATATCGACAGAAGGTGGAAGTTACTTCAAGATGTCATCCTTCCAGCACCACATACGAAAGAAGTTGAGAAGACACCTAATTGGTCAAGCTCTGAAACTTATCAGACACAAAATTAGAAAAATAATATTGAAAGACTTGACTCACCAAAGTTGACATCTGTGAGCATTTTCCTGACAGCTCCTTGTTCACATGCGGCATGTCAGCCTCAGCTCCATCCACACTCACTAAACTTTGACTCATGGCTTGCATATTCTTCATGTCACTTTTTCTGGAATCGGTGGTCCTGCACACCTCGTAATTGTACACGTGTGGGAGAGTCCCCGTCCCCAAAGTATCTGAGTAACGTGGTGGATAATATGGAATGACGGGCAGGTTGGAGTGGTACAGGACGCGAGACTGTCTCCACCGGTACACTTTGACCGATATGATAAGCAGCAAGCAGGTGATGAAGAGGAAGGAGACCACCGCCAGCGCCAACACTAAGTAAAAAGTCAGCTGGTCATTGTACTCCTTGTCGTGCATGCTCAAGTCAGTGAACTCTGACAGCACTTGAGGGAAGCTGTCGGCCACCGCCACGTTCACAATGACTGTTGCTGAACGAGAGGGCCGCCCGCTGTCCTCCACGACAACAGTCAGTCTTTGTTTGACAGCATCTTTGTCAGTCACTTGGCGGACGGTTCGGATTTCTCCGTTGTGGAGGCCAACTTCAAACAGCGCCCTGTCGGTGGCTTTGTGCACTTTGTAGGAGAGCCAGGCGTTCTGACCGGAGTCCACATCCACGGCCACCACTTTTGTCACAAGATAGCCCACATCTGCAGAACGAGGCACCATTTCGGCCAGCAGCGAGCCTCCCGTCTGCACCGGGTACAGGACTTGAGGGGCGTTGTCGTTCTGGTCCTGGATCAGGATGCGGACGCTCACGTTGCTGCTGAGGGGAGGGGAGCCACCATCCTGTGCTCTGACCACCAAGTCCAGTTGTTTAATTTGCTCATAATCGAATGATCGAACGGCACTGAGAACACCAGTTTCAGAATTCAAAGTAACAAAAGTTGAAATTGGACTGCCAGTTATCTGTGTATCTTCCAAAAGGTAAGAGATTCTCGCGTTTTGATTCCAATCAGCATCTCCGGCAGAAACAGCAAATATGGAAGTGCCAGGAGAATTGTTCTCTGCGACATAAGCAGAGTAAATATTTTTATTGAATAGCGGTGCATTGTCATTCACATCTGATATTCTGAGATGTAACTTGGTTGAACTAGAAAGAGGAGGCGTTCCGAGATCGGTGGCTGTAATTGTTATGTTATATTCTGAAACAGATTCTCTGTCCAAATTCTGATCCAAAATCAAATTGTAATAGTTTGTGAGAGACATTTCCAATTTAAAAGGAAGTTTTCTTTCGATTGAACATTTTATTTGTCCACTTCTTTCTGAATCTTCATCTTTTATGTTCAAAATTGCAATTGTTGTGCCAGGTGGTGAATCCTCAGACAGAGGACTTGAAAATGACATGATATTAATGACTGGGGCATTGTCATTGATGTCAATAACATCAAATATAACTTTACTGGTCCCAGTCAATCCACCTTGATCCTTTGCTTCCACTCTCACTTCGTATTTTCTGTTCCTTTCAAAGTCTATTTGACCAGATACGTAAATTGTGCCACTCTTTTCATCAATCTTGAATATATCTGCTGCACCCCCTTTCATTTTTGACAAACTATACACGATGACTCCATTTGAATCACTGTCAGCGTCTGTAGCAATTACAGTAATTATACTAGTTCCTTTCATTGTGTTTTCCATAACAGTAGCCTTATACACCGACTGGTTAAAGACAGGTTCGTTGTCATTTACATCTAACACATTTATTTCAATATTTACGGTACTCGATCTCTGTGGTGTTCCTCCATCAACTGCAATTAATTTTAAAGACAAACGGGGCCGTCGCTCTCTGTCTAAAGGCTTCTGCAGCACCATTTCAACATATTTACTGCCGTCTGGATTAGCATGCTGATTTAGGATAAAATTGTCGTTTGGTGACAAAATGTAATTTTGCAACGCATTTTGACCAACATCTTGATCCTCCGCACTCTGCAGAGGAAAGCGCACTCCAACTGCAGCAGCTTCACTTATTTCAAATAGGAGCGCTTTGTCTTTATTTGAAAATATGGGAGCGTGATCATTTATGTCTAAAACCTCAATCAAGACTCGATGCAGTTCTAACGGGTTTTCAAAAATGATCTCAAAGCTGAAGCTGCACGGCGTCACATCTCCACAAAGCTGCTCCCGGTCTATTCTGTCACTCACAACGAGGAGCCCTTTGTCTGGCTTCAGCTCCGCGTACTGGATGTTTTCTCCCGTCACGATGCGAGCCCGTCCAGAAATGAGTCTCTTCGTGTCCAAACCGAGATCTTGCGCCACATTTCCAATCACGGACCCTTCGTTTGGTGACAAAATGTAATTTTGCAACGCATTTTGACCAACATCTTGATCCTCCGCACTCTGCAGAGGAAAGCGCACTCCAACTGCAGCAGCTTCACTTATTTCAAATAGGAGCGCTTTGTCTTTATTTGAAAATATGGGAGCGTGATCATTTATGTCTAAAACCTCAATCAAGACTCGATGCAGTTCTAACGGGTTTTCAAAAATGATCTCGAAGCTGAAGCTGCACGGCGTCACATCTCCACAAAGCTGCTCCCGGTCTATTCTGTCACTCACAACGAGGAGCCCTTTGTCTGGCTTCAGCTCCGCGTACTGGATGTTTTCTCCCGTCACGATGCGAGCCCGTCCAGAAATGAGTCTCTTCGTGTCCAAACCGAGATCTTGCGCCACATTTCCAATCACGGACCCTTTCTTCATCTCCTCGGGTATAGAATAACGAATCTGATCACCTACCGTGGTAACCAAACGAAGCAGAAACATGAGCGTTCCTATTTGCTGTCGCCATCCAAAAAACAACCTCCATTTTGTACATGAGAAAGGGAGGGCTCCAAGACTATCCATGATGACAAAAAATAAATAAAATGAACGCGATTGTATACTATTTACGATTGCACGTTTTTCTGCTACCGAAGTCAATGTTTACGCCAAACAAATGCAAAGCACGGACCGTTGTTCTTTCACTTCTCACTGCCAACATAAGACTGAAAATCACCCTCCGTGTCTCCTCACTTGGAGGACTGCATGACAACTCACGGAAAATTAAGCCAACAGCGTCTCTTAGAGTCTAAAATGGGGAAGAACGGCCGCTGTACAGCAGGCAAAGCCGACGAGTGGAAGAGAAGTTTCGCCCTTACAACATGGGAACACTTTAAAAAGGTTATTTTCGATAATAAAGCGTTAATACCAAAATGCACTCAATTAAAGATAATCGCTGTTATTTCTTCAGGCACTTGCGAGCATTTGAAGTCATAAAAAACCACAAAAAAACGACCTGTGCACTGAAAACAAGAAAGCCCACCAAAAATATCAAATTTTGCATTCAGATGGAAGACGAAACCATTGCAAAGGGAGCCGACTCTTGTAAAGTTGGATAACATAAGTAAAAATACTAAACGGTGTCATTCTTCAACAAATAATGAAAATTAATCTCTTATCCGAAGTAAAAAGTTCTCGTTTCGAAATACTATACCTGGATATTTGACAGTTTTGCCCTTCTTAGAGTTACAAGTGTATTATTATTATATTATTGTTATTATCATTGTTGTTTCTTTTATTATTATTTATGTATTTTCATTGTTATATTATTATGTATTATGTTTTAATAATTTAATAGGTTCAACGCCCTCCAGAAATGAATCATAGCAAGAAAAGCAATTGAGCGTCAACATTTCTTTCATGTAAATGTGTCACGACAAAATTCCTGCTTCAAAGACTGAAGTGACCAGAACAATGATTGAGTGTAATGAAATGTTACGGAGTGATTTGGCCCCATTTTGGTGCCGGGCGCAAGTCTCGCGCGGAGCAGTCCAACTTTGCGCATGAGGGTAGTTTTCGTTCTTTTGGTATAATTGTTCTACTTTGCACTGGTTATATGGGCGTAATGGAGGTATTTTCATGTGTGCGCCGCTGATGGAAGGTGCCTTTCCTCGACTAATCCTCTCGGCATCTTTCCATTGCATGCAGGGTGGTACGCAGCACACGACGGGTCCGCCGTGCTTGAACGTTGCTGAAGCTCACTCGAGTACATGTATGACATTGGCACGTAAACCGTAACATTTTCCGTTCGGATGATGTAGTCGGCGATATGCGTTACGCGAGGCCCCTCCTCAGTTTGTGGATGTAGAGATATTGGCCGACAAGTGAAATACTAAATTGTGCAGCCTAACTTTGTTTCTGCAAAGTTATTAGTTTTATTTGACTCCTGTGATGATGGGTTCAGAAATGCACTTTGTACATGTTAAAATAAGTATTCCCCTTGTGTTTAAAAAGTTAGAATAGATGTGTTTTTGAATGATATTTTTTCCAATAATTTTTGGTTGGTTTGACATCGACAAAAGTATTTCACAAGTCTAACCATGCAGAAATGTGGCTCCCATGTGAGGCCACTTGATAGCATGAGAATGAACTCGTGGCCTACAAAAAATAAGAAATGGTGAAACATTTGACTCACCAAAGTTGACATCTGTGAGCAGTTTCCTGACAGCTCCTTGTTCATATGCAGCATGTCAGCATCAGCTCCATCCACACTCACTAAACTTTGACTCATGGCTTGCATATTCTTCATGTCACTTTTTCTGGAGTCGGCGGTCCTGCACACCTCGTAATTGTACACGTGTGGGAGGGTCCCCGTCCCCAAAGTATCCGAGTAACGTGGTGGATAATACGGAATGACGGGCAGGTTGGAGTGGTACAGGACGCGAGACTGTCTCCACCGGTACACTTTGACCGATATGATCAGCAGCAAGCAGGTGATGAAGAGGAAGGAGACCACCGCCAACGCCAAGACTAAGTAAAAAGTCAGCTGGTCATTGTACTCCTTGTCGTGCATGCTCAAGTCAGTGAACTCTGACAGCACTTGAGGGAAGCTGTCGGCCACCGCCACGTTAACAATGACTGAAGCTGAGCGAGAGGGCCGCCCGTTGTCCTCCACGACAACAGTCAGTCTTTGTTTGACAGCATCTTTGTCAGTCACTTGGCGGAATGTTCGGATTTCTCCGTTGTGGAGGCCCACTTCAAACAGCGCCCTGTCTGTGCCTTTGTGCACTTTATAGGACAACCAGGCGTTCTGGCCAGAGTCTACATCCACGGCCACCACTTTAGTCACCAGATAGCCCACATCTGCCGAACGAGGCACCATTTCGGCCAGCAGCGAGCCGCCCGTCTGCACCGGGTACAGGACCTGAGGGGCGTTGTCGTTCTGGTCCTGGATCAGGATGCGAACGCTCACGTTGCTGCTGAGGGGAGGGGAACCGCCATCCTGCGCTCTGACAATAAATGACAGCTCTTTCATTTGCTCGTAGTCATATGAGCGAGCTGCAAGAATAACTCCGCTTTCTGCATTCACAGACACAAATTCACTAATCGATCTTCCTCCGATTTCACTCTGCTCCAACATGTAGGAGACACGAGCGTTCTGGTTTTCATCTGGGTCTTTGGCACTCACGCTCAGCACAGAAACACCTGGCGAGTTGTTCTCTGCAACGTTTGCACTATAAATGCTGACCGGAAACACTGGAGCGTTGTCATTCACGTCTGACACTTTCAAATTAAAAGTATGTTTAATTGAAAGGGGAGGAGATCCTGCGTCTGACGCAACAACCGTGATGTTGTATTCTGACACACGTTCACGGTCTAAATGAGCATCAGTCATCAATGCAAAATAATTTCTCACATTGGATTTAATTTTAAATGGAACGCGGCCTTCAATTGCACACCTCACGTGGCCATTTTCCCCAGAATCTTGGTCTTTTACATTAATGATACCGATAGTGGCACCGACGGAGGAGTCTTCTTGTACAGGACTTGTGAAGGACATTACGTTGATAACTGGAGCATTGTCATTTAAATCCATGACTTCTATTTCCACTTTTGCAGACTCGCCCAGCCCACCTTGATCTTTTGCTTCAACCATGAAGTCAATTATTTTGTCTTTCTCAAAGTCTATTTGTTTTGCTATAGATACACACCCTGTCGTCTCGTCTATATGAAACATGCTTGTTATTCCAACTTTTGATTTTGAAAATGAGTATGTAACTATACCATTTGAACCACTGTCAGCATCGGTGGCATTCACAGTCAAAACATGAGTGTTTTTGGGTGAATTTTCAAATAATTTCGCTTTATACATGGTTTGATTAAATACGGGTGGGTTATCATTTATATCGAGAATAATAATTTCGACATTGACAGTGCCAGATCTTTGTGGATTCCCACCATCCACGGCCACTAATTTTAATGAGAGTCGCGGCTGTTCTTCTCTGTCTAAGGCTTTCTGAAGCACCATTTCTGCATATTTTCTGCCCCCCGGACTGACATGTTGTTTCAAAACAAAATGATCACTGGGTGTTAAAACGTAGCTCTGCACACCGTTTGCTTCCACATCAGCATCATACGCACTCTCCAAAACAAAACGGGAGCCAAGTGCAGCAGACTCGCTTATTTCAAATTCTACATGCCTATTTTCAAATTCTGGGGCGTTATCATTCACGTCTAACACTTCGATGGTTACCGGATGCAATTCCATGGGGTTTTCCAATAAAATCTCAAAGGTGAAGCTGCACGGCGTCACGTCTCCACACAGCTGCTCTCGATCTATCCTCTCATGGACAACCAGAAGCCCTTTGTCCGCCCTCAGCTCGGCGTACTGGACGTTCTCGCCGGTCACGATGCGGGCGCGCCCGGAACGGAGTCTTTTTCGATCCAAACCGAGGTCTTGGGCCACACTTCCGACGAGCGAGCCTTTTTTCATCTCCTCTGGGATTGAGTAGCGGATTTGCGCCTGCGCTCCGTTGAGAAAAAAACACCAAAAGACAAAGAGGCAGGCTTTGCGTCGCCATATTCCTCCTCGGCATTGAAGAATATCTTTAGACTCCATACGCAAGTAAAAATATTCCAAGGATGTAAACCGGTCGAAAATGACTAATAAGCAGGCGCAATTATTTCGACCTGATGTAGCTCAAGGGTTATACGTTGTTCACGCGAAGGTCTCTTGTGCCAAATGGCAGTGAAAGAGGAGGGAGCTGCACTGCATCACCCAGCACGAACAAATCCATTTAACGTGCAACACCGCCACTTAGAGGTGAACATTGTCAATTACTCGAGTATAGACTGAAATGCTCAAAACATAAAAAAAAAAAAAAAAATCTTTCAACATTGCAGGCTAATGTCTTGTTTAACAACAACATATAAAAGCAAACAAAAATGAGAACATAAAATTAAATTAATTTCTTAATTTCTTTCACATGAGTTGTTGTAACTTACTAAAACAGCAAATCGACACAGTTGCATGAGTACAAATGACACAAATGACGATTGACACTTTCGTGTGAGCTCTGTTCAATGACTGCAGTGTGGAAGCTGTCCTTCAGCACCACGGACAGAGACACAGCCACGCGAGGCGCCACTGCTCATTTGGGGTCAATTAATTGGCTGTATTATCAGTAAAGTACAATGGTAACTAAATGTACCAAGCTCATCTGATGCTTGCCTAGAAGTATATTGACACGTTTGACTGCTCCAAGGAGGCAAAGAGACACGTTGCCTCGAATTTTTAAAGCGGTCCTTATACTTCAAAGGCTGGAAAGATGTTAACACTCTCCTCATTGAAGAAGTGATCGAACTTCTGAAACAGCAACCATTATACAAGAATTTAAGAGACAGGTGAATTACTTTCAAGTTCAAGTAATAAAAAATAACCAACAATATTTTTGGCAGTCAATGCGAGACATCATCCATCTCATGTGATAATGATGATCATGATGAAAGATGAAGGTCGTTTCAGAAATAATCATGACAAGATAAAAAAGGGCCGTATTAATCTTGGACAAGAAACTCCTCAACCAGAACTATGACAAATATGACAACGACCAAATACAAACTGTTTGACCAAGAAGACAAGTGAGTAGAACCACTTAATAACAAACTTGGATTTGAATTTATCTACATTCCAAAAGTAAAAAAGGAAAACACTGTCAAGAGCATGGGTTTTCAGAAGTGGATAGAATTTTTTTAATCCTTGCAGCAGTTTGACATTCATTGAGGAGGCGTACTTTGGAACCTGAAAACTGTGAGACTTATCACTTACAAAACACAAAAATATGGAAAAACTTGACTCACCAAGGTTGACATCCGAGAAAAGTCTCCTGACAGCTCTTTGCTCATATGCGGCATTTCAGCATCAACTCCATCCACACTCACTAAACTTTGACTCATGGCGTGCACGTTCTTCATGTCACTTTTTCTGGAGTCAGTGGTCTTGCACACCTCGTAATTGTACACGTGCGGGAGAGTCCCCGTCCCCAAAGTATCCGAGTAACGTGGTGGACAATACGGAATGACAGGCAGGTTGGAGTGGTACAGGACGCGAGACTGTCTCCACCGGTACACTTTGACCGATATGATAAGCAGCAAGCAGGTGATGAAGAGGAAGGAGACCACCGCCAGCGCCAAGACTAAGTAAAAAGTCAGCTGGTCATTGTACTCCTTGTCGTGCATGCTCAAGTCAGTGAACTCTGACAGCACTTGAGGGAAGCTGTCGGCCACCGCCACGTTAACAATGACCGTAGCTGAGCGAGAGGGCCGCCCGTTGTCCTCCACGACAACAGTCAGTCTTTGTTTGACAGCATCTTTGTCAGTCACTTGGCGGACTGTTCGGATTTCTCCGTTGTGGAGGCCCACTTCAAACAGCGCCCTGTCTGTGCCTTTGTGCACTTTATAGGAGAGCCAGGCGTTCTGGCCAGAGTCCACGTCCACGGCCACCACTTTAGTCACCAGATAGCCCACGTCGGCCGAACGAGGCACCATTTCGGCCAGAAGTGAGCCGCCCGTCTGCACCGGATACAAGATCTGAGGGGCGTTGTCGTTCTGGTCCTGGATCAGGATGCGGACGCTTACGTTGCTGCTGAGAGGAGGGGAGCCTTCATCTTGAGCCCTGACAATAAATATCAGCTCTTTGATTTGCTCGTAGTCGTATGAGCGAGCTGCGTGGATCACTCCACTTTCTGCGTTTATAGAAATATAGTCAGACACTGGAGCCCCACCGATACTCGCATCCTCTAAAATATAAGAAATACGAGCGTTTTGACTATGATCGGGATCTTTCGCATTAATTGTCAGAATTGAAACGCCAGGAGGGTTATTTTCTGTGATAATTGCGCTGTTAACAGCACGCGCAAACACCGGAGCATTGTCGTTCACGTCAGAGACTTTCAGATTAAAAGATTTTTTTGTCCACAGAGTAGGAAGTCCTGCGTCTGTGGCAACAACAGTTATATTATATTCAGGCACACGTTCACGATCTAAAGGCGCATCTGTTAACAACGTGTAATAATTTCTCAAATTAGATTTGATTTTGAAAGGTGAGTTTTGCTCAATTCTACACGTCACCTGTCCGTTTTCAGCCGAGTCAATGTCTTTAACGTTAATGATCCCAATAGTTGTCCCTGGGGGGGAGTCCTCTGACACAGGACTCGTGAAGGACATGACGCTCATCATGGGGGCGTTGTCATTCACATCAGTGACGTCAACGATTACTTTACACGAGTCCGTCAAACCACCCTGGTCCTTGGCGTCTATTCTCATCTCATATTTTTTATTTTTCTCAAAATCAATAGAGCCCTTTACAGAAATAACACCGCTTTTTTCATCAATGGCAAACACATCGCGAAGGCTGCTGTCCATGTCTGAAAAATGATAAGTCACAAGGCTATTAGACCCGAAGTCTGCGTCAATGGCATTAACAGTGACGACGAAATTGCCGAGAGCAGCGTTCTCCATTACGGCGGCTTTGTAAACGGATTGGTTGAAGACAGGCGCGTTGTCGTTCGCATCAAGAACAGTAATATTAATATTGACTGTACCAGACCTTTGTGGGTTCCCGCCGTCCACTGCAATTAATTTCAAAGACAAACTGGGGAGCGTCTCTCTGTCCAACGGCTTTTGAAGCACCATCTCCGCATATTTCTTGCCATCAGTATTTGAATGCTGTTTTAGCACAAAATTGCCATTCTCGGTTAAAAAATATTCCCGCAGGCTGTTTAGACCTACGTCTTGGTCCTCGGCACTGGTCAGAGAAAATCGAGCGCCAGTATTTGCAGATTCACTGATTTCAAAACGGATGTCGTTTCTTTTGAACGTCGGCGAGTGGTCGTTTATGTCTGTAATTTCAACAGTTACGTGATGGAGCTCCGTGGGATTTTCTAATATCACCTCAAAACTGAAACTGCACGGCGTCAAATCTCCACAAAGCTGCTCTCGGTCGATCCTCTCATTCACCACCAGAGTCCCTTTGTTTGTCACCAGCTTGGTGTACTCGACGCTCTCCCCCGTCACGATGCGGGCTCGCCCGGACAACAGTCTCTTCACATCCAGACCGAGGTCTTGTGCTACGTTTCCGATCACAGAGCCTTTCTTCATCTCCTCCGGAATTGAATATCTGATATTTCCGTCAACCGCTGGATTGAGAAAAAGGAGAAATGACAGATGCAAGCAGACGATGCGCCATTTTCTGCCGTCTGTGCTGAGAGGTCTTCCGTTTGCCATTGTAAAATACAAAGAACAAATACCCTACAAAATTATCCCAATAAAAGATGCGTATTTTTGTAATTCAGAAAAAAAGTGCCAACGAAGAAAATGACGCTGGCTTCATACCGTTTGAGACAACAAGCGAATGAGAGCGGGTCCGTTTTTCTCGAAGCCAGCCCAAACGATGCACACCGCCTCTTTTCCTCTGACACTCGTGAGAGGATAAAGAGCGGAATAATACACACCGACTGTTGGATTGACCTACAGCGACCCTTTGAGTACAAATTGAGTAATGCAAAAGATTTTCCTTTATCAGTGTACATGCGTGTTTGTAAATCAAAATGCTTCAATTCAGATTAAAAAAAACACACACACAAGCAAATGGTTTAAAATGACACGGAGACAGTTAGATAAAAAAAATAACCCCGACTATAGCGCACCGCAAAGCATTAAAACAGCATTAATAATGTTGGGCATATTTGCTGCATGCATGTCATGTGGGGGATTTATAATTTATTTGGTTATTTCAACGAGACAATGTGTCTTTTTATGATAAACCGGATACTGGATGGATGGATGGATGGATGATGGATAGACAGAAAGATTATTTTGAAATAGTTTGCATATTTGACAATTAACGCTGTGATGAAGAGCAACGGTTCCCTGATAACTGTTTTTGTGCTTTCGACTGTGTTCGGTGATTAATTTATTGTTTTATAGTTTGCTGTTGTATGAATTACATTTTGCTCCATGTACAGCATTTTGTATATAGCAATGGTTGTTTTAAAGTGCTCTATACATACAGCTGAGTTGTGTTGAGTCGAGTCAGTGTATCCTCCTGCGTGATGTCACGTCACTTAATGTCCGTTTGGCTCGTGTGCTATAAATCAAATGATGTGTTTAATGTGAATGTGAACCGTCAATCATGCATTTCGTTGTTCGGTTACTGAATACGGTGAAGTATGAACCTTGACTGTATACCTTGCGCTAAATTGATGTGTATTCAATGTCCATTATAATTTTTTTATCTGTATTGTTGCAGACCACAATAAACCAGTCAATTGGAATCCGACTCCCACTCTAAAAGTGAATCAGCTGGTGACATCACACTGTGACTATGGTCCTTAGAATAGAGTATCAAACAAGGTATATAGAACAAACAAACGGATGACCAGACGGAATTTGCACCCCACCGCTTCATAGCGAGAACGATGCCCCACAGCATATCTGACCAAGTATGTACATAGTAAAATTGGTAGAGACACTTTTACAGAATCACAGTTTTCCCTCGAATTGGATTTATTTTATTGAAACATTGTCTGGAATTGCCTGCTCGCTGCCACTATAAAGCGAGAGTAAATCTTCAAAATGGGACAAAATCTCTTTATGCTTCATAAAAGAGTGAAGCAAATGGAGTTTGAGGAGCTTCAAGAGCACACAGCATGCAATTAGCCTTGTAGTTCAGCCTTCAGTACCACGAGCTCGCCCTCCAGGGCAACACACAGCTCCACCTCAAGTCTCTCTACCTCTGCCTCCAGCCAAACATGCAACCTAGGCAACAACCCTGGCTCCATCTCAAGCATCACTGACTACGTTCATATTTTGGTTCACAATTCGGGTTTTGAAAGAGTTATTGACTGCATGTTAACAGTCACTGGCCCCTTCTCGAGCGCTAACTGCAGTTCTGCCGCCATTGCTGCAAACAGCGCAGCCTTTTCCATTCCTATCCGTTACTTTGGGAACTGCTATCCTTGAAATACAGCCTTCACCGGCCCTGTCCTACCAGCATCATATATACCATCCTCCAGCACTGCCTCAACTTGAGCCACTTAACCACATGCAGGTGGCTGATATGCATCTATTTTTTCCAACAGATACTGTACTCCCTCAATGATTCTTTCCATTTTAATCACAGTGACCAAAACGATATGATCATTGACTGGCAAAAGAACACAACGGCGATAAAATAAGTCATTTGTTGTAATTGGTGATTACCTACCTCTCACTGTGAAAATAAAATGACCAGATTATTTTTAGACTCTATATGAAAACTTAAAAAATCAGAAGTTATATGTGATAGTTAAATAATTGATTCAACATGCAGGCTTTCCCTTTCATCAGGAAGTTTTACTGATTGTAGGTAAGATGACCAGTACTGCATTTCATCAAAATATAAAACCCCAGCAGCTCCACGAAGAAAAGCAATGAGTAGACATGAACATTCCGTTCTGAAAATAGAAAAATATATATCTTTGAAATATTTGACTCACCAAGGTTGACATCCGAGAAAAGTCTCCTGACAGCTCTTTGCTCACATGGGGCATTTCAGCATCAACTCCATCCACACTCACTAAACTTTGACTCATGGCGTGCACGTTCTTCATGTCACTTTTTCTGGAGTCAGTGGTCTTGCACACCTCGTAATTGTACACGTGCGGGAGAGTCCCTGTCCCCAAAGTATCCGAGTAACGTGGTGGACAATACGGAATGACAGGCAGGTTGGAGTGGTACAGGACGCGAGACTGTCTCCACCGGTACACTTTGACCGATATGATAAGCAGCAAGCAGGTGATGAAGAGGAAGGAGACCACCGCCAGCGCCAAGACTAAGTAAAAAGTCAGCTGGTCATTGTACTCCTTGTCGTGCATGCTCAAGTCAGTGAACTCTGACAGCACTTGAGGGAAGCTGTCGGCCACCGCCACGTTAACAATGACCGTAGCTGAGCGAGAGGGCCGCCCGTTGTCCTCTACGACAACAGTCAGTCTTTGTTTGACAGCATCTTTGTCAGTCACTTGGCGGACAGTTCGGATTTCTCCGTTGTGGAGGCCCACTTCAAACAGCGCCCTGTCGGTGGCTTTGTGCACTTTGTAGGAGAGCCAGGCGTTCTGGCCAGAGTCCACGTCCACGGCCACCACTTTCGTCACCAGATAGCCCACATCGGCCGAACGAGGCACCATTTCAGCCAGCAGTGAGCCGCCCGTCTGCACCGGGTACAGGACTTGAGGGGAGTTGTCATTCTGGTCCTGGATCAGGATGCGTACTGTGGCCACAGAACTGAGTGGAGGGGATCCGGAGTCACGGGCAGTAACATTAAAGTCAAAGGATTTGATTTGTTCATAATCAAATGATTTGACTGCGTGGATGACACCATTCTCAGAATTGATGGAGACAAAAGAAGACACAGCTACTCCATTAACTTCTTTCTCCTCCAGGAAGTAAGACATTCGAGCATTCTGGCCCCAGTCTGCATCACTACCACTGACAGTAAACACGGAAAAACCAGGAGTGTTGTTCTCCGGCACAGTCTTAATGTATTCTGACTGGTGGAATTCAGGCAGGTTGTCATTTACGTCAGATATTTTAACATTTATGTTTTTACTACTCGACAGAGGTGGGGAGCCTTGGTCAGACACTGTTATTGTCACATTATATTCAGGGACATTTTCCCGATCTAAAAAGTTTTCAGTCACTATGGTGTAGTAACCAGTTAGAGAAGACTCGATTTTAAAAGGGACGTCAGCGTTAATGGAGCACTTGACAACACCGTTGCCTTCAGCATCTTCATCATTTACATTGTAAACAGCTACGGTTGTACCTGGGGGAGAATCTTCAGGTATAAACTGAGAAAATGACATCATTTCAATGGTGGGGACATTGTCATTCTCATCAAGTATGTGAATGAATACTTTACATGTATCAGTATAACCTCCATGATCACTAGCTAGAACGTTTAATTCGTAGCTCCTGGATTTCTCAAAATCTAATTTACCTGCAAGTTTGATCTCCCCTGTTTTAGTATTTATATTAAAAAGGTGATGTTCTTCTTTGGTAGTATGAGGAGTGGAATACGTGACGTCACCATTGAGACCCGCATCAGCATCGTTTGCACTAACAGTAGTGATTACCGTCCCTGCAGGTGAATTTTCGGGCACATCGACCTTATAAACAGATTGAGTGCACACTGGCGCGTTGTCATTTGCATCCAGCACAGAGATGTGAATTCTCACCGTCCCTGATCTATGTGGCTCACCACCATCTGAAGCAATCAACATGATTATAAGGCTCTCCTCTCTTTCTCGGTCTAAAGACTTCTGCAAAACCATTTCGATAACCTTCCTTCCATTTGGTTGGTTTTGTATTTCCAATTTAAAATTATCCGATGGTTTTAGTGCATATTTCTGAACATCATTAATACCAACATCAGGGTCGGCTGCATTTGCGAGAGAGAAGCGAGTGCCCGCTGTGACACTTTCAGCGATTTTCATCTTAATTTCAGGCTGTGGGAAGGAGGGACTGTTGTCATTAATATCCACGACTTCCACTGTTACACGATAAAGCTGGATTGGGTTTTCCAAAATGATGTCAAAACTGAAGCTGCAGGGCGTCGTCTTTCCACAAAGCTCTTCTCGGTCGATGCGCTCTTTAACCACAAGCGTGCCTTTGTCTCGCTTTAAGTCAACATACTGTCGGCCTCCTTTGGTAATGATTCGAGCTTTACCTGCCACGAGTCTGCCCAAGTCCAAGCCCAAATCTCTCGCAATATTTCCAACAAAAGAGCCTTCCGCCTGCTCCTCCGGTATGGAATAGCGAGCCTGTCCACTCGCGGAGCGCAGCTCACAGAGACAAAGAATGGCAAAAAGTGTGCGCCATCGGCCACCGACGGCGCGCATCCACACACAATCCATCGCGAATATTAAAAAGGGCCAAGATGCTTCCTTTAAAATAAAACCAACTGTTCTTTAAATTAGAAGATCCCAAAAATCTAATACGATAAGCCACACAAAACGTCTCCTTTCAAAATGGCGAGTTATTCGTCGGCTTTCTCATCAATGAAGCCCGCAAAGCAGTCAGGAGGACGACTGCGCATCCATTCTCCTTTCACTCGAATTCAATCACGAATCACGAGCGGCGCTCAGAGCATTTTCACAGTAGTGCACCTCCATGTTGTGAGTGCCTGTCAAAATGATATGCCATAAATACGAAGGTTTTTGATATGTCGCGACCCAAAAAATAAATAACACATTTTAAGTTGGAAAAAAAGATGAGGAATGCCCAATGTAATGTTAATTTCATCCGTCACACCATCAATATTGTATCAAAAAAGGAGAAAAAAAGACGAGCAACACAGAATCGAGTAGAACAAAAATAATTATTTTCAAGAAATCAACGCATAAAAATGAAGTGGAAAATGTATTTTTAAATCACATATTTTTGTGTTTTATTCATCTATTTATTGTCATTTAAATGTTATTTTCAAATATGAACAAGGGAAGAGTCTTATTCGTTCATTTTGAGCAGCGGTGTCAAACTCATTTTTGTCGCGGGCCACTTTGGAGTGACGTCTTCTCTCCGAGGCCCGTTACGACAGTGAAACCGAATAAATGTATAATCATCACATCGTTATAATTACTCGTACGCAACAAATTGATGGATTACTCGTCAACTATTTGTTGTTGTTCACTTATTGTTCAAGTGAGTGAAAACAGGATACCAAGTTTGTCGCAAATTCTCAACGTTTTTGCACATGACAATTTGACGTTTCGGTCCAGATTTGAGCAAGGATCAGGGGGTTGACACACATGATTTGCTTTCGGGGGGCACATAACACGACCTGGCGGGGCCGATCTGCCCCTCAGACATTGAGTTCGACACCTGTTTTTTAGGGTGTAAGCTTATATTATTAATTTTCTTTTTATGTTTTAGCATCATATTATTTCATGTTCAGCATACCTAAATTATATTCTGTTGTTTAACAATTGCTTAGACATGTTGTTATCTTGATAGGTTCTGATTGGCTGTTAAAGAGAAGCAGGAAGTGGTTTTAGTTACGAGAGTTATATTCACGAACGTGCTGCGGTGCAGACGTCTCCTTTTTTCCTCCTTTTAATAAACTGCATTAAAGGATTCCATCTCTCCTTTTGTCATTCGTAAAGAAGAGCCATCCACTGAAAAACAACGAACCCCTCAACTTACAAGAGTAATGAAAATATTGTCAAACAAAATACGTCCTTTGCACATTATTATTAACTAATGAAATGCAGTCAAAACCAACCAACCATGGAGCTAGTAAAACAAACATGTAATTATTGCCCTGACGTAACTAATCAATTTTATTTTCATGAAAAGGCGAGCAGGTTGAATCAGCTGCAAGCACTTCCAGCACCATGGACAACAATATTAAAAAGTCCTTCAAAAAATAACGTGAAATGGATGGAAACGTTAAATATTTTTGCCAGAGCATTTTGTACACCAGGGCGCCGCCGAAAAGAAGATTGAATTTCTGTAATAATTATGGCTTGCACAAACTGAATCAAAACGACAATAACAATCCAACTGAAATGAAAACAGGCTACATGAAAAAAAATGTCGAGGAACCTTTTGAATATGCACGAGTTAAAAATGATGAATAATGGTGGATTCTGTTTTTCATAAACCCTGTAAATTGTAATCAAATAATCAGATAAAAAAAGAAGGCCATTCACTCACCAACGTTGACATCTGTGAAAGGTTTCCTGACAGCTCCTTATTCACATGCGGCATGTCAGCTTCAGCTCCATTTACACTCACTAAACTTTGACTCATGGCTTGCATATTCTTCATGTCACTTTTTCTGGAGTCGGTGGTCCTGCACACCTCGTAATTGTACACGTGTGGGAGGGTCCCCGTTCCCAAAGTATCCGAGTATCGAGGCGGATAATACGGAATGACTGGCAGGTTGGAGTGGGACAGGACGCGAGACTGTCTCCACCGGTACACTTTGACTGATATGATAAGCAGCAAGCAAGTGATGAAGAGGAAGGACACCACCGCCAGCGCCAAGACTAAGTAAAAAGTCAGCTGCTCATTGTACTCCTTGTCGTGCATGCTCAAGTCAGTGAACTCTGACAGCACTTGAGGGAAGCTGTCGGCCACCGCCACATTCACAATGACCGTAGCTGAGCGAGAGGGCCGCCCGTTGTCCTCCACGACAACAGTCAGCCTTTGTTTGACAGCATCTTTGTCAGTCACTTGGCGGACAGTTCGGATTTCTCCGTTGTGGAGGCCCACTTCAAACAGCGCCCTGTCGGTGGCTTTGTGCACTTTATAGGAGAGCCAGGCGTTCTGGCCAGAGTCCACATCCACGGCCACCACTTTAGTGACCAGATAGCCTACATCGGCCGAACGAGGCACCATTTCGGCCAGCAGCGAGCCGCCCGTCTGCACCGGGTACAGGACCTGAGGGGCGTTGTCGTTCTGGTCCTGGATTAGGATGCGAACGCTCACGTTGCTGCTGAGCGGAGGGGAGCCGCCATCCTGCGCTCTGACAATAAATATCAGCTCTTTGATCTGCTCATAGTCATATGAGCGAGCTGCACTAATAACTCCGCTTTCTGCATTCACAGACACAAATTCACTAATCGATCTTCCTCCGATTTCACTCTGCTCCAACATGTAGGAGACCCGAGCGTTCTGGTTTTCATCTGGGTCTTTGGCACTGACGCTGAGTACAGAAACACCTGGTGAGTTGTTCTCTGCAACGTTTGCACTATAAATGCTGACCGGAAACACTGGAGCGTTGTCATTCACGTCTGACACTTTCAAATTAAAAGTCTGTTTACTGGAAAGGGGAGGCGATCCTGCGTCTGACGCAACAACCGTGATGTTGTATTCTGACACACTTTCACGATCTAAGTCAGCATCGGTGATCAATGCAAAATAATTCCTCACATTGGATTTAATTTTAAATGGAACGCGGCCTTCAATCGCGCACAAAACGTGACCATTTTCTCCAGAATCTTGATCCTTTACATTCACTATACCAATTGTAGTTCCGGTGGCGGAGTTTTCAGAGACAGGACTTGTGAAGGACATTACGTTGATGACAGGAACATTATCATTTAAATCCATGACTTCTATTTCGACTTTTGCAGACTCGCTCAGGCCACCTTGATCTTTTGCTTCAACCATAAATTCAACTGTTTTTTCCTTTTCATAATCTATTTGTTTTGATATTGAAATAACTCCTGTTATTTCGTTTATATGAAATAAATCTGCTACTTCCGCATTTGATTTTGAAAATGAGTATGTTACTTTTCCATATGAACCGCTGTCAGCATCGGTGGCATTCACAGTCAAAATGGTGGTTCCTTTTGGTGCATTTTCAATCACTTTAGCTTCATACAAAGTTTGATTGAAGACGGGAGCATTATCGTTCGCATCTAAAATGACAATTTCTATATTAACTGTACCTGATCTCTGCGGATTTCCCCCGTCCACAGCAACTAATTTTAATGAGAGTCGCGGCTGTTCTTCTCGGTCTAAGGCTTTCTGAAGCACAATTTCGGCATGTTTTTTCCCGCCTGGACTGGCGTGTTGTTTTAAAACAAAATTATCAGTCGGTGTTAAAATGTAGCTCTGCACACCATTTGTACCCACGTCAGCATCATGTGCACTTTCCAAAACAAAACGAGAGCCAAGTACAGCAGACTCGCTTATTTCAAATCGCAAATGATTGTTTTTAAAAGTGGGAGCGTTATCATTCACGTCTAACACTTCGATGGTTACCGGATGCAATTCCATGGGGTTTTCCAATAAAATCTCAAAGGTGAAGCTGCACGGCGTCACGTCTCCACACAGCTGCTCTCGATCTATCCTCTCATGGACAACCAGAAGCCCTTTGTCCGCCCTCAGCTCGGCGTACTGGACGTTCTCGCCGGTCACGATGCGGGCGCGCCCAGAACGGAGTCTTTTCAGATCCAAACCGAGGTCTTGGGCCACATTTCCAACGAGCGAGCCTTTTTTCATCTCCTCTGGAATCGAGTAGCGGATTTGCGCCTGCATTCCATTTAGAAAAAAACACCAAAAGACAAAGAGGCAGGCCAATCGTCGCCTTATTCCCCTTCGACATGGATGAATATCTTTCGACTCCATATGAAAGTAAAAATGTTCCAATAATGTAAACCGGTCAAAAAAATGACTAACAAGCAGGCGCGATTATTTCGGCCTTATTTAGATCAAGCGTTATACGTTGTTCACGCGAAGCTCTTTTTTACCAAATGGCACGAAAGAGGGGGGAGCTGCAATGCATCATTCAGCACCAACAAATCCATTTAAAATGTAACAGCGCCCTTTAGAGGCGGCTATGTGAAATGTGTCATATTGGACCACAAATTTCAACATGTAAAAATAATCTTTAAATGCGGCCTATGATGTTTAAAAACTGCATAAAAAAAACAAAATGACAAAAACACAAGCATATCAATACACCTTTTCCCCAAGAGATCGTAACTTGCACAAACAACCAATAAACACTGTTGCATGAGTATAATTAAGTAATATAAATGATATGAATGACAATTAATTGACCCTTCGGACTGAGCGCAGGTCAACCGATCAAGTGGAAGCAGACGTTCAGAACCACGGACAGAGACACAGCGATACGTGGCGCTCATTGAGTCAGGACATAAAAGAGCAGTAAAAGTTGCATGATTGGATAGTAGTCCACAAATTAAAAACAATCGTGCTGATTAATGGTGCACAGTAGTTGACATTAGACATTTTTTTGGATGTTTCGTTCCTGATTATTTACATGTCAAGTTGGGTGTTGATGGACCTGAAAATGTTGGAATTGTGCATAATTTTGAGACTTTAAAAACAGCAATAAAGCATGACGAGGCTCTTGACTATTGATAAATACACACTACTTTCTGCTTGAAATCATACAATCATCAGAGACAGTAATTGCAGAAGCACAGGCAATATTAAATTTGCAGAAGTGACCTAATCTCTAGAACTGTCATTATCATGCCAGATGTTTAGTTTAAGTGTCAGGATAATTACAAAAACAATCCCAATGAAGTTGGGTCGTTGTGTTAAACAATTAAAAACAGAATACAATGATTTGCAAATCGTGCACAAATGATATTTAATTGAATACACCACAAAAACAAGATACAAACTGATAAACTTTGTTTTTAGCAAATAATCATTCACTTTTAATTTTCTGGCAGTAATACGTTCCAAAAAAACTGGGACAGGGTCATGTTTCCATTGTCTTACATCACCATTTCTTTTACCACTATTCAATAAACGTTTGTGAAGTGAGGACACTAATTGTTGCAGCTCTGTCAGTGGAATTCTTTCCCATTTTAACTTAATATACAGCTTCAGCTTTTCAACAGTCCGGGGTTTCCCCTGTCCTGTTTTACACTTTATAATGCGCCACGCATTCTAAATGGGAGAGAGATCTGGCCTGCAGGCAGTCCAGTGCCAACACTCTTTTAATATGATGGCACACTGTTGTAACCCATGTAAAATGTGGGTTGGTATTGTCTTGCTGAAATAAGCAGGGGTATCCATCTCAAAGACATTGTTTGGATGGCAACATATTTTTCACCAAAACCTATATGGACATTTGAGCATTAATGGTGCCTTCACAGATGTGGAAGTTACCCATGCCATTGGCACAAAAACAGCCCCGTATCATCACTGATGCTGGCTTTTTAACTTTTTGTCCATAACAGTCCGGATGGTTCTTTTCCTCTTTGGCCCAGAGGATACGACGTTCACAATTTCCAAAAACAATTTGGAATGTGGACTCGTCAGACCAAAGAACACCTTTCCATTTTGTATCAGTTCATCTTAGTTGAGCTCGGGCCCAGAGAAGCCGGGGACATTTCTGGATGTTGGTGATAAATGTTTTTTAGTTTGCATGGTTGAGTTTTAAGGTACATTTATGAATGTAGTGTGGTACTGTATTTATTGAAATTGGTTTTACTGAAGTGTTCCTGATCCCATGAGGTGATATTTTGTCACATTGATGTCAATTTTTTGATGCAGTGCCGCCTGAGCGATTGAAGGTCACAGGCATTCACTGTTAGTTTTGGACCTTGCCACTTACATGCCGTGATTTCTCCACATTTTCTGAACCTTTTGAGATTATGGACCATAGATATGAAAAACCTTAAATTCCTTGCAATTGTACATTGAGGAATACAGTACTGTCCTTTAACTGTTGAACAATTTTCTTACGCAGTTGTTCACATAGAGGTGAACCTCACTCGAACTTTGTTTGTGAATGACTGAGCAATTACGGGAAGCTCCTTTTATTACCAATCATGGTACCCACCTGTTCCCAGTTATCCTGTCCACCTGTGGTATGTTCCAAACAAGTGTTTGATAAGTATTCCTCAACTTTTTCAGTCTTTTTTTGCCACCTGTCACAGATTTTTAGAAACGCGTTGCAGCCATAAAATTCTAAGATAATGATTATTTGCTGAAAACAGTGACATTTATCAGTTTGCACATATTTTTGTCATTATACCGTATTAGATTAAATATAGGCTGAATTTGATTTGAAATTCATTTTTTTCTGGTTGGATATCTGTTTAACACAATGTCCCAACTTCAATGGAATTAGGTTTGTACCTCAAAATGAAGCTGAAAAAATAACCACCACTCTTTCTAAAGGTCCATGCAAGAGCTCATCTTTTGGATTAAAAAAAAAAAAGAAAAAAAAAAAGTAAATCTTGAGTAAGGTAAAATATCTGCTCTCCTCTGGACACACTTGGATAAATAGAGTTCATTATGGGAAATAAAATCTTGGACAAGAACATCCTCATCCAGAAGCCAGACAGTGGGTCTTCTTCGATGACCATGGCCAAAAACATTTTGCTAAAATGGAATGGAGTGCAGCTCACAGCACACTAATGTTAATCTCTGTTTAACTTCAGCCTCTCTCTTCAAAAAAAAAAAAAAAACACGAAAATTTGTAGGCTTCAAGAATAATCAGGGATTGAGTAATTATTGACACCATCCACTTCATTTCTTTATGATGTGATACTGAATGTAACTCTTACACAGGTAAGACTTCCCTCAACATGCCAGTCATGCAACCATACTGTCAATCTGCAATGATGAGGCGTGCAAACTCCACCTTCTAACCTGGCAACATGTGACCGTTTTCAGTTGAAAAAAAAACAAAATAAAAAAATAAAGCATTTGACTCACCAATGTTGACATCTGTGAGCAGTTTCCTGACAGCTCCTTGTTCACATGCAGCATGTCAGTATCAGCTCCATCCACACTCACTAAACTTTGACTCATGGCTTGCATATTCTTCATGTCACTTTTTCTGGAATCGGTGGTCCTGCACACCTCGAAATTGTACACATGTGGGAGAGTCCCCGTCCCCAAAGTATCCGAGTATCGTGGTGGGCAATACGGAATGACAGGCAGGTTGGAGTGGTACAGGACGCGAGACTGTCTCCACCGGTACACTTTGACCGATATGATAAGCAGCAAGCAGGTGATGAAGAGGAAGGAGACCACCGCCAGCGCCAAGACTAAGTAAAAAGTCAGCTGGTCATTGTACTCCTTGTCGTGCATGCTCAAGTCAGTGAACTCTGACAGCACTTGAGGGAAGCTGTCGGCCACCGCCACATTCACAATGACTGTCGCTGAACGAGAGGGCCGCCCGTTGTCCTCCACGACAACAGTCAGTCTTTGTTTGACAGCATCTTTGTCAGTCACTTGGCGGACGGTTCGGATTTCTCCGTTGTGGAGGCCCACTTCAAACAGCGCCCTGTCGGTGGCTTTGTGCACTTTATAGGAGAGCCAGGCGTTCTGGCCAGAGTCCACGTCCACGGCCACCACTTTCGTCACCAGATAGCCCACATCTGCTGAACGCGGCACCATTTCGGCCAGCAGCGAGCCGCCCGTCTGCACCGGGTACAGGACCTGAGGGGCATTGTCGTTCTGGTCCTGGATCAGAATGCGGACTGTGGCCACAGAACTGAGTGGAGGGGATCCGGAGTCGCGGGCAGTAACGTTGAAGTCGAAGGATTTTATTTGTTCATAATCAAATGATTTGACCGCGTGGATGACACCATTCTCAGAATTTATGGAGACAAAAGAAGACACAGCTGCTCCATTAACTTCTTTCTCCTCCAGGAAGTAAGACATTCGAGCATTCTGGCCCCAGTCTGCATCACTACCACTGACAGTAAACACGGAAAAACCAGGAGTGTTGTTCTCCGGCACAGTCTTAATGTATTCTGACTGGTGGAATTCAGGCAGGTTGTCATTTACGTCAGATATTTTAACATTTATGTTTTTACTACTCGACAGAGGTGGGGAGCCTTGGTCAGACACTGTTATGGTCACATTATATTCAGGGATACTTTCCCTGTCTAAAACGTTTTCAGTCACTATGGTGTAGTAACCTGTAAGAGAAGACTCAATTTTAAAAGGGACGTCATCGTTAATGGAGCACTTGACAACTCCATTGCCCTCAGAGTCTTCATCATACACATTAAAAACAGCTACAGTTGTACCTGGGGGAGAATCTTCAGGTATGGATTGAGAAAATGACATTAACTTAATCGTGGGGACATTGTCATTCTCATCAAGTATGTTCACAATAACTTTGCATGTATCTGAATAACCACCCTGATCACTAGCTTGGACTTTCAATTGAAAGTTTTTTGATTTTTCAAAATCTAATAAACCAGTAAGTTTAATCTCCCCTGTTTTGACATTAACATGAAAAAGCTGCTCTTCCTCTTTGGTCACATGAGGGGTGGAGTAAGTGACGTCACCATTAAGGCCTGCATCAGCATCGTTTGCACTAACAGTCGTGATCAATGTTCCTGCAGGTGAATTTTCTGGCACATCGACCTTATAAACAGATTGAGTGCACACTGGCGCGTTGTCATTTGCATCCAGCACAGAGATGTGAATTCTCACCGTCCCTGATCTATGTGGCTCACCACCATCTGAAGCAATCAACATGAGTGTGAGGCTCTCCTCTCTTTCTCGGTCTAAAGGCTTCTGCAAAATCATTTCTATAAAACCCTCACCATCTGGTTGATTGTGTTTTTCCAGTTTGAAATTATTTGATGGTCTCAGTGCATATTTCTGAATATCATTAAGACCAACATCGGGATCGGCTGCATTCGCGAGAGAGAAACGAGTCCCCACTACAGCATTCTCAGCGATTTTAATCTTAATTTCAGGCTGTGGGAAGGAGGGACTGTTGTCATTAATGTCCACGACCTCCACTGTTACACGATAAAGCTGGATTGGGTTTTCCAAAATGATGTCAAAACTGAAGCTACAGGGCGTCGTCTTTCCACAAAGCTCCTCTCGGTCGATGCGCTCCTTCACGACAAGCGTGCCTTTGTCTCGCTTTAAATCAACAAACTGTCGATCTTCTTTTGTTATAATACGAGCTTTACCTGCCACCCAAAATGATGTCAAAACTGAAGCTACAGGGCGTCGTCTTTCCACAAAGCTCCTCTCGGTCGATGCGCTCCTTCACGACAAGCGTGCCTTTGTCTCGCTTTAAATCAACAAACTGTCGATCTTCTTTTGTTATAATACGAGCTTATCAGAATGCAGACTGTGGCCACAGAACTGAGTGGAGGGGATCCGGAGTCACGGGCAGTAACATTAAAGTCAAAGGATTTGATTTGTTCATAATCAAATGATTTGACTGCGTGGATGACACCATTCTCAGAATTGATGGAGACAAAAGAAGACACAGCTACTCCATTAACTTCTTTCTCCTCCAGGAAGTAAGACATTCGAGCATTCTGGCCCCAGTCTGCATCACTACCACTGACAGTAAACACGGAAAAACCAGGAGTGTTGTTCTCCGGCACAGTCTTAATGTATTCTGACTGGTGGAATTCAGGCAGGTTGTCATTTACGTCAGATATTTTAACATTTATGTTTTTACTACTCGACAGAGGTGGGGAGCCTTGGTCAGACACTGTTATGGTCACATTATATTCAGGGACATTTTCCCGGTCTAAGAAGTTTTCAGTCACTATGGTGTAGTAACCAGTTAGAGAAGACTCGATTTTAAAAGGGACGTCAGCGTTAATGGAGCACTTGTCAACACCATTGCCCTCAGAGTCTTCATCATTCACGTTAAAAACAGCTACGGTTGTCCCTGGGGAAGAATTCTCGGGTATGGACAGAGAATATGACATAATTTCAATGGTGGGGACATTGTCATTCTCATCAAGTATGTTAACAATAACTTTACATGTGTCCGTATATCCTCCATGATCACTAGCCTGAACGTTTAACTGATAACTCCTTGATTTCTCAAAATCTAATTTACCTGCAAGTTTAATCTCCCCTGTTTTAATATTTACATTAAATAGCTGCTCTGTGTCTTTGGAAGAACGAGCTGAATATGTGACGTCCCCATTGAGGCCTGCATCAGCATCGTTTGCACTCACACGAATGATCACCGTACCTGCAGGTGAATTTTCTGGCACATCGACCTTATAAACAGGTTGAGTGCACACTGGCGCGTTGTCGTTTGCATCCAGCACAGAGATGTGAATTCTCACCGTCCCTGATCTATGTGGCTCACCACCATCTGAAGCAATCAACATGAGTGTGAGGCTCTCCTCTCTTTCTCGGTCTAAAGGCTTCTGCAAAATCATTTCAATGAATTTTGGTCCACCTGGTTGGCTTTGTATTTCCAGTTTAAAATCATTTGAAGGTCGAAGTGCGTAACTCTGAATATCATTAATGGCAACATCAGAGTCATCGGCATTCTCGAGTGAGAAACGAGTTCCCACTACAGCATTCTCAGCAATCTTAATATTAATTTCAGACTGGGGGAAGGAGGGACTGTTGTCATTAATGTCCACGACCTCCACTGTTACACGATAAAGCTGAATTGGGTTTTCCAAAATGATGTCAAAACTGAAGCTACAGGGCGTCGTCTTTCCACAAAGCTCCTCTCGGTCGATGCGCTCCTTCACGACAAGCGTGCCTTTGTCTCGCTTTAAATCAACAAACTGTCGATCTTCTTTTGTTATAATACGAGCTTTACCTGCCACGAGTCTCCCCAAGTCCAAGCCCAAATCTCTCGCAATATTTCCAACAAAAGAGCCTTCCGCCTGCTCCTCCGGTATGGAATAGCGAGCCTGTCCACTCGCCAAGCGCAGCTCACAGAGACAAAGAATGGCAAACAGTGTGCGCCATCGGCCGTTGACGGCGAGCATCCACATAGAATGCATCGTGAATTCAAAAAAATATATATTTCAAGAAGTTTCCTTTGAAATAAAAACAAGCACTCCTCAATCTAATCAAGATAGAATAAATATGAGAGTCCACAGAAAACGTGAGTTTTAAATGGCAAGCCGACCGTCGTCTTTCTCCGCAACGCAGCTCTGAAGAGTCCAAGAGGATGACAACTGCACGCAGGCCTTTCACACTAATTCACTGACGTGTCACTAGCGGCGCTCAGAGCATTTTCTCAGTAGTGCATTTATTTATCAAAAGCAATCAAATATGACTTCAGACTTTTGCTTCTTTATTTTAATCTGATGTGGCCATTAAATACCAAAATTGCAACACCCGGAAAAAATAAGGTGGTACTTGATGCTAAAGGGATCTGTTTAACTAAATTTATTATCTTACCAGTGACACTTAGAATGACACATTAAACATTTCCTGGGCAGAAATATTGATCTCCCCGTTCCTAAAGTCCTCAGTGTGGGAGTAAAAAGGTTACATTATCTTCAGAGTATATTAAAAATAATTAAATTAAAAAACGTAAAAATTTATCATTAGATATATTTGAAAGAAAAAAATAGTGATACGTGATTAATTCATATTCTTTAAATAATGCATTCAATATTGAATCCAGGCTATTGGCTACATTAAGGAAAGTTCATAAAACATGATCAAACGTTAAATGTTATAGCACAGATGTTTATGCCTGCACTTTGAAAAATATGACAATCACGTAAATACAACATATTCCTCCAAACTGCCGTGGAAATTGATTTTCGAGTACGAAAAACACAGTCCAAAAAAACGCACAAATGAGGAGGAAGCGGCCCTCCTTCTCGATGAATACATTCTCGATGAATACATTCGCAACAGCACAACGACAATGCGCTACCATCGTAGCAGATTCCATAATTCATCCAAAAGCTGTTTTCTTTAATTTACAACCATGGTTACCCCACCGCGCAAACACGCACACGCACACAGACGATTATGCAATTAACATTATGCTTGGGGAAAAAAGGAAACGTGCATTGAATCTAGAATATGGCAATTCCGTCGTAGCAACTTCATGGAAACAAATAATCACATGATAAGAAATAGAGATAGACTGAAATAATTCACTCATCAACGATGGAATAGACTAATAATTTATAGTTCATGAAAGACGAGCATGTTTAAATCAGCTCCATAGATTTACAGCTGATTACATACAAACAACAACATTAAAAAGTCCTAAAAATAATGAGGTAAGAATGGTCACGTTAAATATTGTTGTCAGTGCATTGTGTAAACAAGGAAGACGCCGACGAAATTATGTAATGAAGTATTTTTGGTCCAAATTATTTTTGGACACATTGAAATAACAATCCAACTTAAAATGAAAAGAAGCTACACGGGAAAAAAAAACAGTTGACATCTCGTATTGGAGTCTTGATTTGCACGCGAACTAAGAAGAAAATGAACAAAAAATGATGATTCCGTTTTTTGTTTAAATCCTAGAAACGATAATCAAATAGTCGGATTACAAAAGAAGTATAATTCACTCACCAAGGTTGACATCTGTGAGCAGTTTCCTGACAGCTCCTTGTTGACATGGAGCGTGTCAACATCAGCTCCATCCACGCTCACTAAACTTTGACTTATGGCTTGCATATTCTTCATGTCACTTTTTCTGGAGTCGGTGGTCCTGCACACCTCGTAATTGTACACGTGCGGGAGAGTCCCTGTTCCCAAAGTATCCGAGTAACGTGGTGGATAATACGGAATGACGGGCAGGTTGGAGTGGTACAGCACGCGAGACTGTCTCCACCGGTACACTTTGACCGATATGATAAGCAGCAAGCAGGTGATGAAGAGGAAGGAGACCACCGCCAACGCCAAGACTAAGTAAAAAGTCAGCTGGTCATTGTACTCCTATTTCTCCGTTGTGGAGGCCCACTTCAAACAGCGCCCTGTCGGTGGCTTTGTGCACTTTATAGGAGAGCCAGGCGTTCTGGCCAGAGTCCACGTCCACGGCCACCACTTTCGTCACCAGATAGCCCACCTCTGCCGAACGAGGCACCATTTCGGCCAGCAGCGAGCCACCCGTCTGCACCGGGTACAGGACCTGAGGGGCGTTGTCATTCTGGTCCTGGATCAGCATACGAACGCTCACGTTGCTGCTGAGGGGAGGGGAGCCGCCATCCTGTGCTCTGACGCGGAAGTGGAACTCTTTAAGTTGCTCATAGTCATATGAGCGAGCTGCACTAATAACTCCGCTTTCTGCATTCACAGACACAAATTCACTAATCGATCTTCCTCCGATTTCACTCTGCTCCAACATGTAGGAGACCCGAGCGTTCTGGTTTTCATCTGGGTCTTTGGCACTCACGCTGAGCACAGGACCACCCGGCGTGTTGTTCTCTGCAACGTTTGCGCTATAAAGGCTGACCGGAAACACGGGAGCGTTGTCATTCACATCTGACACTTTCAAATTAAAAGTATGTTTAATGGAAAGGGGTGGCGAGCCTGAGTCTGACGCAACAACCGTGATGTTGTATTCTGACACACGTTCACGGTCTAAATCAGCATCGGTCATTAATGCAAAATAATTTCTTACATTGGATTTAATTTTAAATGGAACGCGGCCTTCAATTGCACACCTCACATGTCCATTCTCTCCCGAATCTTGGTCTTTTACATTTATGATACCGATTGTGGCACCGACGGGGGAGTCTTCTTGTACAGGACTTGTGAAGGACATTACATTGATGGCTGGGACATTATCATTTAAATCCATGACTTCTATTTCGACCTTTGCAGATTTGCTCAGCCCACCTTGATCTTTTGCTTCAACCATGAATTCAATTGTTTTGTCTTTTTCATAGTCTATTGGTTTTGCTACAGATATACATCCTGCCACCTCGTCTATATGAAACAAATCTGTTATTCCTGCATTTGATTTTGAAAATGAGTATGTTACTATTCCATTTGAACCACTATCAGCATCGGTGGCATTCACAGTCAAAACATGGGTGCCTTTTGGTGCATTTTCAAATAACTTCGCTTTATATATGGTTTGATTAAAGACGGGTGCGTTGTCATTTATATCGAGAATAATAATTTCAACATTGACAGTGCCAGATCTTTGCGGATTCCCCCCGTCCACAGCCACCAATTTTAATGAGAGCCGCGGCTGTTGCTCTCTGTCTAAGACTTTCTGAAGCACCATTTCTGCATATTTTCTGCCTCCCGGACTGACGTGTTGCTTCAAAACAAAATTATCGCTCGGTGTTAAAATGTAACTCTGCAGACCGTTTGCGTCCACGTCAGCATCGTGAGCATTCTCCAAAAGAAAACGGGAGCCAAGTGCAGCTGACTCACTTATTTCAAATTCTAAATGTCTACTTTCAAAGGTGGGAGCGTTGTCATTCACGTCTAACACTTCGATGGTTACCGGATGCAATTCCATGGGGTTTTCCAACAAAATCTCAAAGGTGAAACTGCACGGCGTCACGTCTCCACACAGCTGCTCTCGATCTATCCTCTCATGGACATCCAGAAGCCCTTTGTCCGCCCTCAGCTCCGCGTACTGGACGTTCTCGCCGGTCACGATGCGGGCGCGCCCAGAACGGAGTCTTTTCAGATCCAAACCAAGATCTCGGGCCACATTTCCGACAAGCGAGCCTTTTTTCATCTCCTCTGGGATTGAGTAGCGGATTTGCGCCTGCGTTCCGTTTAGAAAAAAACACCAAAAGACAAAGAGGCAGGCCTTGCGTCGCCATATTCCTCCTCGGCATTGATGAATATCTTTCGACTCCATATGAAAGTAAAAATATTCCAATCATGTAAACCGGTCAAAAAAAAATCACTAACAAGCAGGCGCGATTATTTCGGCCTTATTTAGATCAAGTATTATACGTTCTTCACGCGAAGCTCTTTTTTGCCAAATGGCAGCGAAAGAGGAGGGAGCCGCACTGCATCGTTCAGCATCAACAAATCCATTTAAAATGTAACAGCGCCTTTTAGAGGCCCACTTATGCAATTTGTCCAGTCAGACTAAAAGGGTCAACATTAAAAAACAAAATCTTGTAATATGGTATGTCCTGTCATAACCGCATTAAAACGAATCCAAAATTACAAAAAAAGAGATACATTTGTAACTTTCACAAACATCCAATCAACAATGTTGTGTGATACGTGTCATTGTGGGTTTCAGATTCAAATGACAAATGTTGAGCACTGATATTAACTCTCCAGCTTGAGCGCTGGACAGCAAACCCATTGAAAGTTGTCCTTCAGCACCATGGAGAGAGACAAACTCCACAAGGCGCTCCCTGTTCAGCATATCAGTTGAAGTGCCATGAGGCTGCAGTGAATTTCGAAAGTAACTATGTGCAAGTAAATAATCCTCATTCTTGGCTAGACGTGTAAACAATGATACACCGCGGGTGACTACATATTTTTAATGTCTAATTTCAGTGTATTGAAAAACCCAATTGTCTATTTATCAGGGATGTGTTCCTCGAGCCGGTCCTTGGCCTCGAGCCGGTTCGAGCCCGTCCTTGGCCTCGAGGAC